ACATCTGAGGCAGCATAACAGACGGAGGAGCTCTACCAGGAGCCCGAGTACTTTGACGACCTCCATCCTTCCTGTATAAAGTGGGCAGAAGCTTTGTCAAGCATCACGTTCCCGTTCAGCTGCCGGGCTCAGCGGCTGCCTCCTCCCCGGGCTCTGCAGCCGGCTTTACCCGGGAGCAGGGCACTAGCGGCTCCGCGCCGGAGGGAGCGGGATGTCTCTTCCATTTCTCCGCAAGGAAAGGTACGTAAGGGAAGGGATCAAAGTTCCTAGTAGCATCCTACAATGTCACTTTCCTTTTCCTCTGCTCTTCTTCTCCATTCTTCTCTTTGGAAGGAGGAAAAACTGGGGAGACAAATAAGGGAGGGGAACTTGCCCTGGAATTTCTCTAGCACCCTTAAAGACAGGAGGAGGCAAGCGCAGGCGGGTGGGGCGCAGCCCTCAGCCCGCACCCCCGCTGTCCCCTCCCTCTCCCCCAGCCTCCAGGTACGCGCTTCTTCCCGGCGCCAGCCTCCGCCTCTCCGCCGCTGCCCACCCGGCGCCGGGCAGCCACTCGTTCCTTCCCGCCGCTGCCTCTGCCTTCTCCTCCCGAGCTGCAAAGGCTGCAGCTACGGTGGGGAGCCGCGGCCGCGTCCTGTTGCAAAACCTCCAGCAACAAAACTGGGAAAGGAGACTGCTTGTGCGCGCACACTTGCCAGAGATTAGACTTGTTGGAAGGAATCTGGACTTTATCCCCCACCGCTGCCTCCTCGATTAGCTGCTTGCAGCTTCCTGAGGTCAAACGCTCCTCAGATTTGAACCCAGGTGAATGGGACTCAGAAAACTTTACGTTAAGCAGCTTCCAGATCTCCCCGTGGAAAATCCACAGGTGGCACGGTCCCTTCCAGGGTGCAATCCCAATTTCCAGCCCTGCATCTTGCTGCACTGGGTAGTGCCTCCAGAGATCTTTTCCATCAAGTGTCTTCTTGACCTTGGCCTATAAAGTTATTTTAATAGATTAGCTAGGATGCTTTCCAGAGTGTTGATCGTTATAGTATTGCTATGAATAATCCTGTGGGGTTTTCAGTGTTTTCAGTTTAGTGCTCCTTCATACAAATTAGGGTTAAAGGCTAGTTTTAAACATTATTAAATCCAAGAAGGGAATTGGTCGATTTGAAGCTGTTCAATCTTGGCAAATTTTCTGTATGTTCCCTGGGTTGCCTCTCAGCGTTTCCTATATCTATATTCTGATTTTGGAGAGATTAACTCTTGGTGTTCTGCAGCATGAAACATGAAGGTCACCTTAAGAAATGAGCTCACTTCTGGCCAAGTCTGCTAAGCAGTATTTCCAAAGACACTTTCAGCATAAAAACAAGGAACTGGCTGAAAAAAATTCATTGGCTTGACAAAAAGCATATTTTTTTTCTTCCCTCACTTATTGCCCATTACTCACTTCACATGACAGTTTTGTGTTGCCTCATCCTCAGCCACTCATCAACTGCAAGGAAATTCTACTATATGATGGATCTTTTACAAGAGTCACAGACTGGGTAGGAGAGAGCCCTTTCTTGAGTGGATTTGTACCACAGTGCATTCTGGACATGGTGGATTACACGCAGTTAATTAGGAGCAAATCTCCTATATCCTCCTAGCAAGGGAGGCAGGTGATCAGGGCAACAGAAGATGGAAATAGCTTAGATGCTACAGCACGCTGTAACTCTCAGGTACCGCTGGCAAAAAGGAACATAAAACGAAAAGATGGGAATGTGTTGGAATTTAGAACCACTCACTCCAGTGAAAACACAAGGAAAGGATATATTAAACAGAACAGAAAAACTACCAGCATTCGGAGAAATCTGCAGTTTAGTCAGGAGTAGAGAGGCTGCTGATGCCCCTTCAGATCTCTCGTAAGACACTCGCCTATCCCAGCCCTTTAGACCTGGAAAGGAACAGCTGCATTCAGCCTCTGACACATACTAACGGGGTTTAAAACCTCTAGCAAAAGCCTGCGCTGGATTTCTATCACAGTAGCTTGTTACTTGCTTCCTTCTCAAGGCAAGGCTTTCCTAGATGAAGGGGTTTCCTATATAAAGTGATTTTAAAGGAAATATAGACCAGTGCACCAAAAGCAACAGAAGTCCATGTCTGGTACTGAGTTTTTGGAGGAATGACAAACTGTGCAAAGATACAGTGAGTTTTGCAGTTGTCTCATCTGTGGTGGGTTGTCTTTTGGAACTATTTCCTTCTTGCCAAGGTTCCCCCGTGGTCTTCTGGCACACGTAATGACATTTTCTTGAGAAAGGTGGATCTCAGATTCTCAAAAGCTTCTTACGGCTACATGGCCCTCTCCCACGTAGAGAGGAAAACCAAGAAGGAAATTATACCAATATAACTATGGCAGTTTAGACAGGTAACATATCTAAAGATAAGGTAAAATCTATCCTGAACTTTCTTGTATGGGCAAGTTTGAAGTAGTTGTAAAGACCTAAGTCCACTACTGAACACAAATCACCTTCTCAACCCGATACAAGCACAGTTCTATAATAATAAGTCTATGACTCCCTACAGAGTCTTACTGTCTTGATTTTTTCCAGATTATTCTGTATTGAACCTTCTGAACAAGAAGAACCATCTTCTAAAATGCTCTTGGCTCTCTGGAATTCAACCTATTTCTCTTGAACTGGCAGCACTACTATTCATCAAAACCAACTGAAATATCAATGCTTCCTCCATAAGAGATCTTCATTGGAAGCCTAAAAAGAGAGGTAGTTAATAGCAATCATACCCAGAGCTGGTATAATGCTCAAGCTATAAGGAACAGGAGTAAGATCAAGGAATTCCAGCAGATTTGCTTAAATCCTGTAAATCCGCCTTAGGAGGGTAGAACAGCTAGTCAGCTTTTGTTTAATTCTTTCCCCACCACGCAATCACCTACAGGTCTCTGCAGCAGTGTTCCTAACCAGTGGGCTCAGCACCAGAACCATTCTTTTATTCCCCAGCAACAGCATCATGGGGTGGTACAAGCCCTGACCGCAGAGAGGACAGCGACATTCACTGAAGTTACACATATGGACTGTTAATGGAATGACCTCCAATATCATCAGCATGTTGCAGAACGCATTTAAACACCCAATACAAGCTTAACAGTGAGATACAGGGAAATCACAGCAGCTCAAATTGCCAAGGACAATCAGTAACCGGAGGTTTTTTGGTTACATCATGGGATCCTGAGCCAAAAGAACTGCTCGAGTACTGTAAAACCTGGGTGCATCTGAAAAGCACTTGTTCCTTCCTTCTTCCTCCAAATAAATGCATTCCTTTAAGGGCTGGAAAAACTTAACATGGTAGTTTTAAGCTTACAGCAGACATGTAAAAGGTCAGAAAAACAATCCCAAACAACCGAACTTGTGAAGCTCACTATGAAGCAGTAAAATAAAAAAACAGCTGTCCAAATTAGTGGGAGCTGTGAAAAATTTCAAAAGCAAAAATAGAACAAAAATGTACTTGTTTCTCTGTTACAGCCTCTTATATAAAGAGACAGGTCTTCAGACATTAAAATATGGTATGTTTAGCATAGCTGCTAGCTGAAGAGGCACAGAACCATACTTGCAAGTCTTAATACAAAGAAAGAAAAAACATCAACAAAAGTTAATTTATAATTCATTGGTTCCTCACTCCCAGTTTAGTTCATCTCCTTCAGAAATGAAGAATTACCAAGTAGCTCTCCTTCTCGGAGAGCACCTTTTAGACTGAAAACCCAAAATGTCAGAGAACTAAAGTGTTTTCCCATACTTGGATGTGGACATCATGTTCTTACTGAGCCCAAATCCTCTGAAAGACCCATTTATGTCATAATAAAAACAAAAGAATAAGCTACCCTGTCGGATAACCCACTAATGAGCCACTGTAAGTAACAGTTAAATGAAAATTGCTTCAGTAACTTGAAAGCATAAATTTGAGCAGTTTCTATGTGATGAACAGTATCGGCCTGGGGCTCCAGCTCCAGCTCCATGCAAACTCTACAGTCACACGTTGGTAATCAGAGCCTGTGTGTCTGACTCCCCTCTCACTCTTTGCTTTTTCTTTACGACACAAAGAAATAGTGATATAAATGGCTATACCCTTAGTTCTCCAAGACACTGCATTTTTCTTACCAATTAGGTAGTGGTCCTAAAAGCACAGGGACCTGCCTGCAGTTTTGTGGTACTCTAGTGAAAAACCAACAAATCAAAACTAACAATTAATTACATGATTTCAGTATCAGCCCATGTTTGAACTTTCTCTCCTGCTTTTAGTTTTCTGTACCAAAAGAATAGAACATTTTGTTATAGATGATGAGTTGCCCAAGCTAAAAAACAGTCTTGCATTACTTTATTATAGTACAGACAACGCAATCTGACATGGTACCATACCTGCAAATCAGAGGGCCTAAGTCACAAGTTTCTCTAGTAAAGTTGTATTTGATCCTTATCAATGTATTGTGTATTAACAAGGTATTTTGCTGGAGATTTCTTCCTCATTCTACAGCCTTCTTGTACAGCCGCAGGAATTAAAAAAATTTCAAGAGGAATCCAATTGTGTATACACAATGTAGGAGTACGAGTCACAGGATTATCATCAATTTTAAGTTGTCTCAATGTCTGGGCCTGAGCGCTTTTTGATAGCAACTCAGAAGTTAGGCAGGAAGCATATACATGAGGAAAAGTCACCCCCTAACTGCTGGAAAATGCATTTACATGCATTCCTAGAAGATTTTATTTCATAGTGAGGACCTGACTCCACACTGTGGCTGGCTGAACACCACACTGCAGAAATCCTAAGATCACAAGAACCAAGAACCTCATCACAGCAGCTGATGGGCAAGATGGGTTTTTTCACGCGGGAAACAAAGGTGTGCTTAAGATCCACGCCGCAGTGCTGACCGACACCACTTGACATCAAACGCTCATCGAAATCTACTTTTCACTTTTCTGTCAAAGAATCCAACTTTAATTCCTTGTCCGCAGTCCCTTTTGTAAAGCACATTATACATAACGTGTGATCTGAGGAAACCTCCTCAGGAGCTTGTTCACTTTGCTTGAAGTTGAGAGTTCCCTGGATGACTCCTTATTTTGATCCTTGCGCACCTTCTGAAACAGAAAGAGAAACCTCAAAATATTACCTCTGTTTATTTGCTGAGATGACTCTCACCCCCAAAGACTACTGCTAATTGCACTGGGATGTTTCAGAACATTCAGAAGACTGATGATTCTTTACGGAACACTTGCAGTACCGCTTGGCTCAATAATCACAGTTTTCAAAAGCCGATAACCTTTAAACGGTGAAATGAATGAATGACTGACAACTTGCGAAGATTATATTCTTCCACATTCTTAGTTAACAATATTATAAACTTACAGTAACAATGCAGAAGATTTTTTTCTTTTTACTTCCTATTATTAATTTGTTTCCTTTGTAATCTACCAGATAAAATGTTGGGTAATTTTTTATTTGTGCTGTCAAGCAGCAACAGTAAATAACTATTTATTAAATGGCAGTACTGTTACTCAACAGATATGGAAACCTGAAATCAGTTCAAGGCAAGTTTAGTACATGTACTCACCTTTAGTCTGCTTTTGAAACTGACTTGATTTCAAGTTTATCATATAGCTGGGAACCTCTAACTTCCAATCAATATGAAATTTATTTTTCAAGAAAATGTCTAGTCTTTGAAGTCAAAAACAGGCTAAAAGAACGATTAATTTTCAGAGACTCGAGAATAGCTGTAACCACCTCACATGTCCTGAAAACTCTGTTATAAGGATTACCGAAACCTCTAGTTATTTCTCTACCGCCTTGTCTCCACCCTCACCCCTGCAAGCACAAAACTATTTACAGGTTTGTGACAAACTGGAATTTGGGAATCCTGACTTATCACTTTCCCCATTGTCTAGATAATGCAGGTACTGAGTGGGTACTCCAGTCAGCTATTTCTTACTTTTATGAATTAGAGCAGTTGTGGAAACTCACCTACACTGTACATCTCCCCAGTTACAATATAATCCACATCCTTCACCATACAAATCACTGCTCTACTTAATAGCTCCAAATTGTGCTTTCCCTCATTCAGAGCTATCATGGAATATGGAGAAAAGTAGTAACTGTTATTGCTTCATTAGTGCTGCAACTTTAGATATTAAAAACTGGAAGAAATCAAAACAAATGGCCTAAGTTAGGGTCAAGTGACAGCAGCTAAGCTCTACTTCAGGAATTTGACAACAGAAAAAGGACTGGATATGACTATTGTTTCATCCTTGATTATAACACACTAAACATCCAGTCCCTTCCTACACTCCTTCGTTTTAATTCTCATTTAATTCAATTTAACTTCTGCATTCAGAAAGGAAGGACTGCATGTTTGATTTACGTAATTCTGCATCTCTCCTACAATTGGCTACAATGCCAGTAGAACTGTTCAGAGAACATTATAACTGTTGGCACACAAAAAATGATTGGGGGCTATCTCCTCCCCTACTACGACCCTTAAAGAACACAAAAAAGGCCTTAATTACTTCTGCCTTTGCCACGCAGTCGTAGAACATGCGGATCTCCTCAGCACAAGCTGTATCGTTGAAGTCATTCTGTTTCCAGCAGGCCATCATTACTGACATCTCCGTAATGCATGTCGCCTCTAGAAGGGAAAGATACAACCTAAAAACTTAGGAGTTTGGGATTTTATGCTAACAGCCTCCACAGTGCCTAAGTCTCCAGAAAGAAGTTTAAGATGGGGTAGAGGCAGGTGAGGAAAAAAGCAACACAAAAATAAAGATCAGATCTTTGTTCTGAGTAGAGTTGGGGTTGTTGTACAAGCAAGTAATATTTTAAAAAGAGCCCGTGTGCTAATCCACGGCACAAACCACTCCCTTCCCCTGCTGCCCTGCACTGCACAAGGCTCTCCCGAGCCAGCCCTGACACCACCATAACCCTCCCCAAAGCAAAACCGCAGGACGGCGGTGGGAGAGCTCCCGGGGACAAGGCCGGAGGACCCACCGGCCACAGGTCTACCCCACAAGGGCTGGGGGCCCAGCACACCCCACCTCCA